TATGTATTGAACAATCGCCTCCTCTTCGATCTTCGTCAAATTCGAACGGCCGTGATAGCTGTCGGACTTCGCGATCTTTCCCTTCATTCTATCTGCAATTGTCGACTTGGGGACATTGTATATCTCTGCGGCGCGTCGGATACTCAAGCGCGGTGTTGATCGAATCGCATTGATCGCGAGAAGAACTCGGTTTTCTGGGCAGCTGTCGGACATTGTTGTGGTAGAGAAAACGCGTGTTGAAGTTGGGTGGTTATGGTGGGGGAAAATGTGTCCGAGTCAATGGGGTGTCCGAGTCAATGGTGGATCACGTTAGTGTTTCACTCTTTTTCTTCTTCTCTCTCCATTCGAGACAAACTCGTAGAGTCGTCACCAGCTAGTTGCAATATACTCCTGGGACCGTTACACTAGATGCTAAGAACGCTGAGATTGCATTTTTAAAAGCCCAGGTTGACCACTTGACGAAGGAATTGGAGGCTTACGAGCCACAGCGCCGTAAGAAGGTAAAAGAGAATGCCAATGACAAATTTCCGAGGATCGAGGATATTATCCAGGCAAAGGAGGTGTCACGGGTAGTGACAGTGTGAGGTTCATGTGCGCAACTCCTGGTTCGACTGGACAGTTCGAACCACGGTCCCTCTTTTGAGGGCGTTACGCAGTGGTCAGTTGCGCCCACCCGTGACAGGAGGATTCGATGAAGTCCCCGACGAAGAAAAGGAGGAAGACGCAACAGAACAGCCACGCAGTCGAGGAGGCCGAGGAGATAATTGTGTGTAGCTTAGAGACTATTCGCCGGGCCGAAAAGGAGTAGAATCATCAGATTCGTGTGTAGATTGCTTGCAATTTGGATGAGCTAGATGTCTTTTATCCTGGTGGTGATGGTGGTGCCAAAATTCCATTGTGGGGTCGATTCCGCTGTTAAGTCCACACGTCTAGTTTCTTTTTCCGAACTCCCTGCTCTTTCCCTGTGCCCCGCAGACAGCCACTTCTGCCTCCCCTCGTGCAACCACAATTGTACGAAGACATACCCAACATCTGGCATCACCGCCGTGACAGACGCATTTCAGCATGATGGGTTAGCTTACGCCGAGCGAGACCGATATCATGAGGTAACACGGCATTAGCAACACCCGATGTGACGATATCATGAGGTAACACGGCATTAGCAACACCAGATGTGAAAGCAAGATGCGAAGAATCTGGTGACATGTGGATGGGAAAGTCAGGACTAGGGGTGAGAAAAGTGGCCAGCATGGAACTCAGCTGCGCTAGTCGGTCAGTTCCGGTTGAGCTGGGCAATTTATTGATGCGTTGGTTCCCGCTTGAGCCCCATTGAAAAGGTAAATGCAACGAGACTGAACCAGTTTTCTCGCCGACTATCTCACCCAATCGCTACTGTGCACAGCCTTAATGGAAGACGGGAGTACAACCTCATGCACATCGGGACTCGCCGGGTTAGGTAGACTACAACATAGCCCCCGCTGCGGCCCACCGGGTCCCGGGTAGGTACTCGGCGACGTAATACTCAGATCCACGAACTGGGGCCGCCTCCCCATTTTCGGCCTAATAATGCAGCGAACAGCAAACAATCGATGTGACTTCCGTATCAAGATATTCGGTATATATTCCGTGACTCCGTCCATGTAAACAGATCAGAAACTCAAAAATAACGGCCATCCTTTTCACCAGCCACTATTTCTATCTCATTGCCCCAACACCGCTAATCAATTCATCCGGATCCATCTCTACTCAAGAATCGAAATGGCCACCCCAGAAGAACGCTACTCCACCCAAGCCAGTGTAACTCCCCACTGGCTCTCCGACACCACCCTCTGGTACCTCCGCGCATCCGCCTTGGGCACAACCGAATTCATCTTCGTCGACGCTCAATCCCCGTCCCGCCGCCCGGCCTTTGACCATGCCCTCCTCGCGCAGAAGCTAGCCGAGCATACGGGCCAGGAAGTGGACCCTTCCGCACCCCCCTTTTCATGGATCGAACTCGCGCCCGACGCATCCACTGTGCGCTTCCGCTTTTCCGGGAAGACTTTCCAGTTCCTCAACGGAGATGGAGAGCTGGAAGTCTGGGAGGGTGATTTTGGGACCAAGCTGGAGCCCTTGGCGGCGGAGGAGCCGAGTACGAACGGCGGGGAAAAGGCGGGACTCGTCATTGTGAATCGGACTGCTGGGGTGTTGAGGGTGTTTTGGATCGATTCCAATGGGGAGGCCGTGAAGTATGCGAGTATCGAGGCGGGGAAGGAGTTGGAGATGAGGACTTATGTTGGACATGTGTGGCGGGTGGAGGGGGAGGATGGGATGAGGAAGGTCTATAAGGCGGTTGAAGGCGAGGGACTGGCTGTTGTTGAAGGGTGGAAGACCAAGCTGGAGCCCTTGCCAGTAGAAGAGCCGAGTACGAACGGTGGAGGTACGACGTTACTGACCATTGTGAATCGGACCGCGGGGGTGTTGAAGGTATTTTGGATCGATTCCAAGGGGGTCGCCGTGGATTATGGGAGAGTCGAGGCGGGGAAGGAGTTGGGGATGAGGACTTATGTTGGACACGTGTGGCGGGTGGAGGGGGAGAATGGAGAAAGGAAGGCTTATAAGGCGATTGAAGGCGATGGAGTGGCTGTTGTTGAAGGATGGAAGACGAGGGAGGCGGCGGATGGGAGCAAGGAGAAGAGGGATGCTGAAGCGGAACAACATGGGATTTTTGTGCGGGATTATGATGTCTGGATCCGTGATGCCGAAGGTGAGCACAGAATCACCGACAGCGCCTCGTCGGGGACTCGATTCGACTCTGGCAAAATTATTCGGAGCGCCGATGGCAAGTTCTCGGTTGTTTGGGAGTATACACCCGAGGTAGGGTATTCGCTTAACCTGGTCGAGTCGACACCGAAAGATCAGCTCCAGCCAAAACTCACTACCACGACATATCTTAAGCCAGGAGATAAAGTAAGGGTCGACCGACCCCGGATGTTTGACGTTGAAGGCAGAGTCGAGGTTTCAACCGACGACACTTTGTTCCGGAACCCGTACTACATCCGCAACTTGGGCTGGAACCAAGATGGCGACGAGTACCGTTTCATCTTCAACGAGCGCGGCCACAAGCACCTACGGGTGATTGGCATGGATCGTCAAGGAGCAGTTCGATCCATTGTCGAAGAGAGCAGCGAGACATTTATCAACTACTCGCAGAAGATGTACTATCTCGTCTCCCCAGACACGACCGAACTTCTCTGGACGAGCGAGCGGGACGGATGGAATCACTTGTACCTCTACGACATGAAATCCGGGGAAGTCAAGAGCCAAGTAACCAGTGGCGAGTGGGTTGTCCGGGAAGTCGAGAGAGTCGACTGGAACACCCGCCAAGCATGGCTCACCGTGTACGGCATCATCCCAGACCAGGATCCATACTATGCACATTTGGCCCGAGTCAACCTGGACGGCTCCGAATTCACCCTCCTCACCGAAGGCGACGGAACCCATTCCTGGACTTTTTCCCCCAACAACCACTACCTCCTCGACACCTACTCACGAATCGACCAGCTCCCGGTCACCAACCTCCGCGACGCCTCTTCGGGCAATCAAGTCATCGAAGTCGAAGGCGACGATACCGTCTCTCTGATCGCCGAAGGCTGGAACGCCCCCGAGATTTTCACCAGTCCAGGCCGGGACGGCACCACGCCCATCCACGGCATCATCGTGCGACCCAAGGACTTTGACCCCTCCAAGCAGTACGCTGTCATCGAGGACATCTACGCCGGTCCGCAGGACTTCTTCACTACCAAGCCCTTCACGCCCAGCCTCGGCCAACGCGAGCTCGCAGACAACGGTTTCGTCGTCGTCAAGCTCGACGGCATGGGCACGAACTGGCGGTCCAAGGCCTTCCACGATGTGTGCTACAAGAACCTCAAGGACGGGGGAATCCCAGACCGCATCGCCTGGATCAAGGCGGCAGCGAGCACCCGTCCCTGGATGGATCTGTCCCGTGTCGGTATCTGCGGCGGATCCGCGGGCGGACAGAACGCTGCGGCGGCGTTGATCTTTCACGGGGGGTTTTACAAGGCGGCTGTGGCGGACTGCGGGTGTCATGATAATCGCCTGGATAAGATGTGGTGGAACGAGCAGTGGATGGGGTGGCCGGTGGATGAGTCGTACGCGGCGTCATCGAACGTGGTGCACGCGGCGAATTTGACAGGGGCGCTGCTGCTGATGGTGGGGGAGTTGGATGATAATGTCGATCCCGCCTCGACGCTGCAGTTGGTGAAGGCGCTGAACGATGCGGATAAGGATTATGACATGCTCTTGATGCCGGGGAAGGGGCATGGTGCGGGAGATTCGGGTTACGGGAAACGGAGAAGGTTGCAGTTTCTCAGGCGGTGGCTTGAGTAGAAGATATCTGAGCGATGGAGTTAGTAGAGGATAAGAGACAAGCTCCCGGTCCATATTGAAGGTACCTGAAGCTTCATCATCATTGAGCGTATGTCCCACTCATGCACTCGTTCAATCAGACTCAGGCTTCACTGCCATCAACAACTATCCACTCCTGTTGGGACCGAGATCCCCAGTAACACTTGACAATAGTTCGAATCTGTGGCGATTGTGAGAAATGGCCATGACTCTTAAAGTCAGGGGTTACTTTTGCTGGCACCACTTGTTAGGTGATATGGTACAAGGGCCAGAGCTGTCTGTAACGGTCCAGGAGTATATTCCATCTAGCTGGTGACGACGCTACGAGTACACTGAACTTGAGGAAAGAAAAAGGGAAACATGTTGTTTGATTTGGTAGGTGGTCAGGGAGGGCAGTTCAGGTGTGACTAATGGCTTGGCACCAGGATTCTCAGGAATCAAACTCACCGGCCCTAACAATTGGAAGGCCTGGAATGAGCGATTCAAGTCTGAGGCGGCGACTAGAGACCTTTGGGAGGTCATTGACCCAAAGAGCTCTTCGGTTGGCGAATTCAACTTCAAGACCGCACCAATCAAACCAGCCATTCAGGACTACCCAAAGCTAGGCCAAGACACCGACCTTGCGATATAGTCGGTTTGACGTTTCTGCCGTGGCTGTTGTTTCGTTCTTCTGCGTGGGAATGGAAGTTGGGAGTTCAGGTGGCCTTCCCGGAGGAGCGTTGGAAAGCCAACAGCCACGGATTGGCCGCACTGTAGTAACTGGGTACCAAAAGATGGGCAACCACTCAATTGATGACCATGTTCCTGTCTGCGTGCTCGAAGCGGGCGTATCCAGGAGCTTCGGGTAGTCCGCGAATCTGGGTTCAATCGGTCGCTCCATGAAGTCGCACCTTGGAACCGCTTGCAGGGTCGATGAGCTCCCAGAGCTGGTTATCCCAATCCAACTGTTACAAGTTCCCATCATCTATGTGATCACCGTGGAATCGTGGTGTTGGTCTTCCAACAGTCATGGGACCGGCTCGCAACAAAGCTTCCCACTATCAATCCGAAGCAACAGCCACGAGCCCAAGTTCAAGTGCTCGCAACCCAACCATGACTACGACAGAGAAAATCGTGAAGCTGACCGGCCCGGAGAGGGGGAAGGAGTGGAGCCTGCGCTTCATCAACATGCTGCAAGCGCAACGCTCGGCGGCACCCCAGAGCTCGTCGACACTGAAGGAACGCCTCGCAACCTTTCAGAAATGCCAACGACTGGGAAGGAGCACTACCGTTAAGATGTCGCCAACTTCCAGTTCAACTGACGGCGATACGAGACCCAAGGCCAAAGAATCAGCAATGTGAGCAACTGGGTCCAGAAAACTGCCGCTAGCCATATCTACAACGCAATCTGTAAACACGATAGAAAGCTCCATGAGTGGTATGCTGCCCTCAAGGAGTGAGCGGGAACAGACGATCTCGAGGATCTTTGTCGAGCGCTCGAACACTACAACACCGCCATCAGGGTTCTCAGTCGCAAACCGAAGGATACACAAGGCTGGCTCTCAAGTTGGGAAACAGCCATTGGTGAAGCCCAAGAGGCCAAAGTGCCAGGCACTGAGAACTCTCAAATGTGGTAGTTGCAGTTCCAAGCAGCCATCAGAGCTCGTGAAGGATTTCCGCGACCGCCTCCGCAAAGACAACGACTCCAAGACACGCACCATCGTCAGAGGCACGTTCGTTACCTTCGCTGAGCAGACCTCCGATGAAGGGGAGGACCGCGCCTCGAACCGACCGCGCCACGCTAAGCAGCGTAGCCCACCACCTCGCAGAAACCAGATTCGCACCCCACCTCCACGATCCCAAAAGCGTCGTATGAACGACGACCCAACATCAGCCTGTCCTGCTTGCGACAACCACCACGCTATCGAGGAATGCTGGGCGGCCGGCCCGGAGATTCGACCCAAGAACTGCTGGGTATCAAGAAGTTCGGAGGCTCGCGCGAGTTTCAGCCCCCAGAGCCATCACACATCCAGCATTACCACTGTATGGAAAACACCACCATTGATGATCACCATCTTCTGTTGTCTCTAGTTGCACATCACGAACGTATCATACGTTCCTGAATTCGCCACAAACGTCGCCTCGCTCAGAAGACTTCGAGAACAGGGCATTCAGTGGGACACACGCCCTCATACGACACTTCTCAGGGATTCTGGACGGCAGGATCCTCGGGATGGTGGAGGACCACTATGATCAGTTTGTCCTCGAATACATCCCCGAAGAAACTGACCGAGCCGCGTTCTTTACACGCCACAACCGATTCAATTCGTGGACGCAGAGGCGTCCAAACGAGGCCGAAGCGCGTCTCTGGCACCTGCGCCTTGGCCATCCAAGGCCTCGAGCACTCGAGCATCTAGTCAACAGTACACAAGGTGTGAGGATCAAGGACATCACGACGACGGAGTGCGACTCTTGCGCCAAGGGGCAAAATGCACCGCCAACTCGCCAAGTACCGCGCGACCTTACCGACTTCCACGACTTCGAACGTTACTACTCGCTCTTGATGGTCGTCGACAGGGTCTCGGGTTATATGTGGGACTTCTACATGAAGGATTGAAAACCGAGACAATCATCACTGCGCTCCACGGACTCCTTGGCATACTCGAACGCCAATACGAGGTCAAGGTAAAGGTTGTTGAAAGTGACAACGAGATCATCTCACAGTTGCCCGGGGTGAAACGCTACTTGGAAAGCAGGCACATCCGGACCGAACCATCACCAGGAGACACACAAGCCCTCAATGGTGCTGCGGAGCGATCCTGGAGGACAATCAAGGAACAGCTCACTGCTATGCGCGAAATCTCATCGCTCCCGGACGCCCTGTGGAGGGAGATCAGCAAGGCCGGAGTGTACTTGCTTAACTGCACGCCACGGAAGCGCCTTGCCTGGAAAACGCCGTTCGAGATCTCCATTCGAAAGGAGATGCGCGCCGAAAGCCCAATGTGACCAATCTGCGAGCGTACGGCTGTACGGCGTATGCGATAACCACCACGGCGATGCGGAAGGAGCAGCGCCTCAAGCGTTTAAACCCAAAAGCGTGGATCGGATACCTCGTCTGATACACCTCGTCCAACACCTTCCGCATCTGGAATCCGGTCCCAAACAAGGTTGTGATCATGCGAGATGTGATCTTCAACGAACAAGAAAGGTTCAGTGGTGTGCTCGTAGAGCTTCGTGATGAAGTACGAGAGCTTGATCTAGATGAGTTGTCCACTCTGTTGCAAGAATACGCCCTCCCAGAGGAAGCTGAAGAACAGGTTAACCCAGCGCTCGCACCTCGGGGGGTGGAGGAAGCCCTCCTGGATGGACTCAACAGAAGAAATCCAAGATACAATCATCGTTCGCACATCCTCTGGATCGCAGACCGGCCAAGATGTGGAACCGATTTCTCATGCAGGCGCAGCCTCTCGCGGCTCTGAAAACTCCCGCCAAGCTGTGAAACCAACCCCTCGCGGCTCTGAATCTATGCGCCAAGTTGAGGGAGCCTCTCACCAACAAACCGGCCATGCTCCGGAAAGCTCTCGCGATGACGATCGCCAGGTCCGTAGGCCGGTATCCGTTTCCAGTTTTGGATGCCATGGAAGTGTAAATCGAGTTTGCCGTCTGAGGCTGCTTATTCTAGCACACCTGTAATGTTCGGCAGTTGAATTTATCGCTGCAGCGACAGCTGCATCAACGGCCTGCTCGCCCTCTATCATGGCCACCAGCTATCCATGGCTAAAGGCACATGTGCAGTGGGCTGGTTTTGCCTTTCGAATTGGTAAGAGTCAAAGAAGGCGAGATCGACGGCTTGACTACGGCATGTTGATAACAAAGAGGCCGCCTATTCCAGCCTGCCCAATTTCTTTGCTTTGCCACAGCCTGTGGGAACACTTGTGAGTTTGTGGGTTGACAAGTCCTTGGGGAAAGAACCAAGGAAGCTGTCAAATACCGGGCCGTTGGCCAATGGGATTTGGTCCCGAGAAACAATCTTGAGGACACCTGCATCGGTTGTGTGGGCTGCTGTCTCGGCCTAGTGCAGTTGCCAGTATCCTCCTTTGAGGGGACTGGATTGTTTCGGACCTGACGCCTCACCTAACCCAGCTCTCTCTCGCAGCATGGCCAGCCCTGACGGTAGCTTGACAAACAAATCCTAAGCCATCAAAGGGCGTAAGGCACTCTCAATCATGCAATCAATAAGTCACCAGCACATGAAAACTGAATTGTGCCGGTGACATATGAACGCCAGCACTTCAGGTTCAATATGACTCTAAGTCTCTGACTGAATATCACATTACCTAATCAAGGTACTGTTAGGGTACCTGAAAGAATAACACCAGTGACTGGGGTGAAGCACTGCTGAAACTGTTAGCTTGCCAAACCCCAGGCGAGAAATAACGATTTCAAGTTATTGCTGTCTTCCTTAGGACACACCCCACAGTTGGTGAGCCAGTGCGGCCACAGTGGTTCGTGAGTCCTGAGACATGGCCTTTGTACCTATGCTGAAGGCTGAAACAAACTTCCTTTCAGCTCCAACAATGCCCCAGAGCACCGGGCAAAACTTCCGGGTCTTAGGTTTCCCGGACAGTCAAGCGGTCAAATGAGGGAAGGGGGCCGATTAAGGGCAGAGAATTGTGTATTTCACTCCCCATCCGTGCCACCGTCTCTCGACCCGATCTTCTTCCAGGAGATATTGTCGATCGACCGATGGGAATAATATTCTCCCGCCCACCGGGTAGCCGCGACTTGTTCTGGCTCGTACACCCAACAGTTGAAGCCCGCCTTCGCCGTCGCCGCCGCCGTCAGAGACAAGCGCGCAAACGATTCGTGTCTCCTAGCAGTCCTCCTCCCTCGTCCAGTTGTTCCAGGCCGGATGCTGCTCCGGACTTCAACACAGAACAGCACCCTTTCCACAGCCACTCTAGGTTATCAACGTGAGTGCCTGCTTACTTACCACCATCAACAACAACAGGCGAGTGACGATTCATTAACTACATTAAACCCCGCAGAATGTTCACCACGCGAGAAGCAGCTCAAACCCAGCCCGACACCTGGGTGGTAGAAGACATCCAAATCCGAAAAGTCGTACACCTCCATCAGCTCCCTGGACACTTGAAGGCTCCAACGACGACCACCACAACCACCAAGACACCCTTGAACGCTCGTCCCAAAATTGAGACCGACTCGGAGATGGACGCCTTCGAGAAGGAACTCAGGGCTCTGCAGGCGGTGCGGGAACAGGAGAGGGGTCTTCGCGACATGAAGACGAGGGACAAGTTGAAGGGGCGCGAGTGGGAGATGGAGGGAGGAAGGGGATATCCTACCATACTGGCCATCGAGAAGGAGATAATGGCGCGCGAGATGTTGGAGTGGGAGAAGAAGGTTGCGCTGCGCCGGGCGGTGGAGGAGGAGTTGTACCATGTGCGGAAGGAGAGGGTGCTCAGAGAACAGGCGGAGCGGGAGAGGGAGTTGACGCGGGAGAAGGAGGCGAGGGTTGAGAAGGAGAGGGAGAGAGTGCGCAGGGAGATGGAGGAAAAATTGCAAAAAGAACAGGAGAAGGAAGTGCTGAACAAGGTCAGGGAGCTCGAACTCGAGGAGGCAGCTGTTGCGAGGGCGGTTGAGGAGTCGATCTTCACGGAGGCAGCCAGGAAGTTGGTCGACGAAATGCGGGAGAAGGAACGGATGCAAGAGATTGCTGAGAAGATGAGAATGGAAGCGGAGGCCAAGGCTTACGAGGAGAGACTGAGGCGCCGAGTCGAGGGGAAGAGGGGAGGATATGAGTCCAATACCGATGGATTCGATGAGCCGACTGCTCCTTTTGGCCCACTGCTTCCGCCCCTCGTCAGTGAGGTCCGGGCATTTGTGGAGGAGGACTGGCAGCGACCGCCGTATTCCCCAAAGCCGGATGCCTACCCGCCGACATACCCTGGCGGTCAAAAGGACATTCCATATCCACCTCATGAAACCGCTAGATACGGATACGCTCCACCACCCACAACGGGTCCGCCTCGTATTGAAGGGAACGGCCGAGGTTTGCGTTGGGGCGTTCGTGATCTCGGGGTGGACCAGACAGATACCCTAGGCTGGTGTAAGAGGGGCAAGGATGGCCGCCGCTGGTGCGAGAAGACAACAGAACGCTGGGAAACTGTCATTCGTCGTGAGGGAGAGGGACGTGACGGATACCGGCGCTACAAGAAGTCTCGAAGTTCACCCAACGCTTTTCGTGAGGTTGGTGGCGTTTGATCCTGGTGTAAGTGTTTCTTCTGTTCCATGTTCCTGATAGAATGGATGGACTCTGGGTTTTGGGCAGGCAGGTGTGTATGATACAGAGATTTAGGAACCAGGTGAAGGAATATTGGTCTTGACAGCAGCATGGGCTGTTTATCTGTTGGAAAGTCATGGCACTGGAAACTCGGACGCTCAGCTGCAAGTGCCCTGCTGTTGGATGCATGGCTGCCCAACTGAGCGTCAGGCAACGTGAGGGGTAACCAGGGCGCTGGGCAACGAGGTCAGGGCGATAACCCCTTCGCTGGAGACGTGAGAGAAGAACAACCTTCAATCAAGAACATCTGGGATGCTCCGAGCATTTCAAATCTGACTGTTGTAAGCTCCCATCATCTGTGTGATCACCGTGGAATCGTGGCTGTTGGTCTTCCAACATTATCCTAGGGGGCAAACCGTCAAGCACCATGTGAGTGAGATGCTACCTGCTGTATAATTCAGCATTGGGCTGTTTATTAGCGTGGAACTTATGTGGTAGGTATTACGCAGTACAGTTCATCTGCCCTACGTCCAGAGTCTACGATGATCGGATGTGATGTAAATCACCTTGCCCTCATCTGCAAGGTCGTACTTGCTTCCACCTTGCGGCGCCCACTAGACGCACACTACTGTGCGCTTACGTAAAACCCAGTACTGGGCGCCCAGCTCACTGTTCTTGCCCTCCTGTCCCGTCAAGGACATGCCCGAGAGGTCCTTATATGGCCAACCTCACCGCAAGCTGTACATTGACTTGGCCGCTTAGCCTGTGTCGCCTGCGTTGCCTCAACAACCTCGAACTCACTGGGCTCACGCTGTGTACTTGACGCTGGGAGACTGCTTTTCGTCGCTCTTGGCTCTATACAGCGGGGCTCTAGGAGAGTGGAGCCCGTCACGCATTAAGCGCCAGTGCGAGGGAAGCCTTTAAGAAGAAGGGACTCGCCTTGGCGTATATTTAGTACATGTGCGCATGGGAGCCCATAACGCGTGTGAAGGCGTCTATATAAGTTAGCGATGGAGAGGGTCTTTCACACTGTAACTGCCTGATGCGGGATGCACCGGAGGGAAGGCCAAGTATGGGTGTATCTGTATTAGCTGGAAAGAAGGATGGAGATTCAGAAGTCGGTGTCGCGCGTCCTGCATGCAAATAGAACTGGCATGGAGGGGCTGCGCGCGCACAGACCTTTGCAGCGAGGCTATGTTGGGCAGCCAACAGTTACATGCTCGAGTAAGCTTAGATCAACCAAATGGTATTGAACAGATTGAGGTATGAAATGAAGCTTGAATTGGAGTCACGATTTCAGAGTGACCACACAAATGAAGGATCAAGATAGTGGGTTAGGGTGCCTCAGAATGTCCCTTTCTTTTTGGAACAAATTGTCCTCTCTAATCCTCCCCAGGGAAATTACCCCCTTATATAGAGACAGTGTGCCATGATATGACGTTTATGTCAAGAACTGCGTCATTGTGATGGATCTCTGTTGACTGAGAGTCTCGCAATGAACATCAGTGCTCAGTCCGTGAATCTTGGTGCCAAGGAACCCACTGTCACGGTACCAAGTCCGCCCTTCATAGGTCACGTGCTAAACCACGTGCGCTCGTGTTCGTGGACCCACACTAGCTGTATCTAGCCTCGAGCAGCTTCCTCTCGCGAGAGCTTCCTCTCTCCTCATCGCACAACACAATCTTTCCCCAGACCTAGCCCTGTCCCGTAAACCTTTGACCAAGACCCGTGACAGTTTGTGCGATCATAATCGTGCCCCGTCGCGGTCACCAGCCCGAACCAGATCCAGCCAGAACCAGCTAAATTGCCCTGCTAGCTAGCCAGTTGCCGCGACCCGGCACTGAACCGACCCAAAACCCGCCACAATGGGCGAGCCTGCCAGCGAGCCTGAGCTGCTGCTTAGAGCGCTCCTAGAACGGTGGCCTCACCTGACCACTGTAATTAATTCCGGGACCTTTCCCCCTGATACCAATCCCGGCCCGCTTATCCAGACCATCACCGCCCAGGACGGCCCCAACAAAGCCACGTTCGTGGCCATGCTCGACTGCCTCGAAAAGAACATGAGCGAACTCATCGCCCAGCGCGACCGGAGCCAGTCGGAACTGTCGAAACGCGTCCAAGACGTTGAAGAATATGACGCCGACCTCACACGCGCCACAAAGCGCATCTCGGATCTCGACGAGCTCGTTACCACCCAGCGGAACGAAGTGGATGGGGTGAAACAAGCGCTCGAGCGGGCTCGCGCCGAGATCGCGGGCCTGAATTCAAAGATCACCGACCTGAATACCCATCAGTCCATGGAGAACACCCGCGTCGCCGAGTACAACAGGCGCATTTCGAAGCTCCAAGACGAGAAAGCCGAACTTCAAACCCGCCTGCTCCAAGCAACGACGACGAATGGAGCCTCAATCCTGCTCGAGAAAACGTCAAAACCCCGTCGCACCACAACAAATCCCGACAAGTTTACCGGAGGTCAGCAGGATACAGCCAAGCGCCAGAGCGCTTATGAGAGGTGGAAAACCCAAGTGGAACAAATCCTGGTTGTCGACGCTGAGTGCTTCCCGAGGGCACTCGACACCCTGACGTTCATCACAAGTTTGCTGAGCGGCAAGGCCTGGGATGCCATTCAGGACGGCGTCCAGAAAATGAACGCCAACCCTAAGGACCCGGAACTGTGGACCTGGCACGACGCAACTGAGCTATGGAGAGCCCTGGACAGGCGCTACATCCTGCTCGACAGCACCCAGTCCGCGAAGAACACGCTGGACACGGAAAACCGCGCCCTCGTAGGCCGGGTGAAAAACCCATATCGACAATCAAGGAAACGATGAGTGTGTGATCCTGCAAATACAAAGTGAGAAGGCCTCTTGGCCTTCGAAGGAGAGGGATATCAGACCGCGAGTTCCAGCTCCAGCCTCCTAGCCAGACTGTACATCGGCATTTTCCCCGAGTCCATCAGCCAGTCCAGGATCCTCTCCGTCAGCCGTGCAGCTTTGGGACTGATTCCCTGTAGGACAGAATAAAAGTCCCTTCGCGTTCTGACCTCGGCTCTCTCCCATCTTCGAGTCAACGGTGGGGCCAAGCACCACATCACAAGGTGTTCGACAGTCTCTCGCGCCTCTCCACACTCGCATATAGGCGTCAGAACCTCTGGGACTCTCCTTTCGAATAAGAAAGCCCGAAGCCCTATAGCCCCGGTTCGAATCTGAATCAACAGTGAGCTCTTCGCTCTGCTGAGGCCGTCGTGTCTCCTTGGGGTTTTGTCTTGAAACAGAGTCTCATGCTGGTGGTCAATGTCATCTGCGGGCCTCGTTGCTGTCCGGCCGTCTCGTTCCTTGAGCCACCTCTCTCTCCAGGCCTCCTCCATGACTCTGTCCGTGTCGGCAGTCCCTCCCGTCCAAACTGCGATTGTGTTGGCGGCTTTTTCTACCGCTGTGGGCTCCTGCGGCCCAAAGGCTCGTGGTCGGCCCCTATTATCCGTCCTCGAGTTGAATATCTGACATATCTTGCCGCAGGCCGCATGAACAATGCTCTCTGCAGTCTTCTTTCCGCCTCGGCCGTCGGCTAGAGTGAGCATTTCTAGCCGGGCCTCAAAGTCAGCTAGTCGTTTGTTGAAGAAAAGGTCCAGTGGCGGCACCCATGTCTCCGTTTCAAGGTTCCGAGTGGGTGTGGACTTGAAGGCTCCTGCCACTATCCGTAGACTCTTGTTTTGAACTTTTCCAAGCGCCTTGGTGATCCCTCTCGTTGCTGGCTCACCCTCCTTCGGCTCGGCACAGGGTTCTGCATCTATCAATGTTACGGGCCACGCGTTGGCGTTGAGATGATGCACAAGGCGGGGCAATGATTGACTAGATTGCTCCGAATGGAGAGCGAAAAGAAAAGAGAGAACTAGATGACGGGAAGAGAGGGCAGCTCTTATATGCTCCGGAACACACAGACACTGCCTGCCTCAGGATGACGTTATCATGATACCACGGCCGAGGGTTGCCGAGTCCATCATGGGCTCAGCCCATCACAATCTACTTCTACCCACGTCGCCCCCGAAGTAGATAGAATAGATTGATTAGTCAGCCGACCCGAGATAAAATAGATAGAATAGGAAGCTATTCTATCTACGGATCCGTATATAGATTCTATTTAGGTAGATGTTCAAGGCTTAGCGGGTCAAAGGATGTTCCGATAACAGGACGCTCACGATTTCTGAAATACTTCTACCTAGCCACTACCCGGCCACCTCATGTCATTTCACTCTCAACTTGCCACGATATTCGATTCTCAAGCGCCTCAATGCTTACATCTCGGGGGGCGATCCCATCATAATCATCCATCAATCCGGCCTTCACCCACGATCTGATCGTCTGAGAGGCAGAGATCACATCCGTTCCGAGTCGCGTCCGTCGTGTGGTGACCATGCAACCAGCAGCTGAGAATATTCTCTCACACTCGGCTGCCACCGGAGGGACGTTAAGCACGTCAAACGCCATAATCACACGGTTGGATTATGCGTTTAGATTCCTCTGACCCTCCTTGACTACAAGCCATTGAGTCTTTGGGCGTTGTGTATGAGATGCTCCAATGTTCTAGTAGAACATAGGCTGTAGCCTACACGGAGCGCTCTGGCCGGCATTTGGCCAGTACTCCGTCAACTTGTTAACTTCCTCGAAACTGCACTTTCTCATGGATAGCGAAACATCAACCTATCTACTGGTGGCCGTCTTTCTTCCACAACGTATATCATGAGGTGCCTGAGCCAAAGCACGCGGTAGAAGACATGTGACTAGTCACGTGAGCTGTCACAGCCGCCATGACGCAGGATGGTGAGCGGAAGAGTCGGAATGCTGACCGCTCGGGGCGGTGGTGGCTGCGGCGGGCTCAGGGCGGGCTGGCATGGGTATGTGCCAAAGATTAGTAATCACTTGGCAATCTATCTACTTTGAATCTACGTAGATGAGGGTCTGGTAGAATAGATAGAAGCTTGGCAGCAGCCAGGGTAGAGTAGATAGAAAGCACTGCTTTCTATCTACTTGTAGATTCCAAATCTACTTAGGTAGATAGATGCAGAACCCTGGTTCGGCACAGTTATAATTCTAAAACTCGGGAGAACTATAAGCGTCGTCTGAGAATAGAATAAGACTCAGAACAAGGGTGTAGCATTATCCAGCTGTCACGGAATTCCCCGTTCCTGTTCTCATGGTCATGTCATATGCTTGCGGTTATGCATACGTCATGGGGTCTGATCATACGTCTATGGTCATGCTTACGCATAGGCCTCTGCTCCAGTACTTAAGGTCTGGTTGCACGCCCATTCCTGTCATCTAGCTCTTGCTCTCGTTGTAGCAATATCGAGCTTGTATGTGCGAGCTGACCAGACCTTGGGTGGTGGCCGTCACACTAGCAATATTATAATCTAGTTTCCTGATCGTAGCTATTATTGCCTTCGCCGGTATGCTTACCCTTTAAGTATCTATAGCAGTACTTACAGCAGTTGCATCTATTATCATTATCGAGTCAAAAGATCCAAACCGCCGGAATAAGCTCGCTCTCTAGAACACTGCCTTGCGGCATTATAATATTAGCCTTGCCTTTAGTTACCTCGACGTTCAGTTGCGGATCAAGCTGATCCAAGTCACGGAGGCCAAGGACCCAATCAAGCTGATATTTTATCAGGAGATTCCGAGCCCCTGGAAGAACTGGCCATCCCTTTCCGCCCCTTAAGGCCGAGTAGGGTCTTTCCTGTAAGTACCCGGATTCATAAGGGACAAGATTTCCTTCTATTAGCCGGAACGACCGTAGGAGGATAGTGCCTTAATACTTGTCGATGACATGGTTAGTAGCGTCGCCGACTTCCCACGGGCTTGAAGTGTACCTGTACTTAACTAGACGCTCTGTCGGCCTAATGTCTACGTGTTTATGTAGCAAGATGACGACGAACCACTCGTAGACGCTGTGGTTTAGGAAGAGTTGTCGGATTGAACTACAAACGAGATTCGCCATCCAACTCTTTCAACTGACCGCTTATAGCGCGAAGACTTCGGAGTGAGTTGTTGGTGTTAAAGCTGTAAGGTACCCTGTTATAATTGCATATAAGCATTCAGCTATTGGGATAGAGACGGAATGTCCTTACGCTGCTATCTTCTTAGCAATCAATGTCCGCAGCAGGAGATCGAGAGGGAGTGATGCGGAAACGAAGAACCGTACAAGTTCGTGACAAGGTTGTCATTAGAGAGACTGCTTGGTATGCACTTGATTCTTAGGCCTGAGCTGAGGAATTCATAAGCTTCATAGGCATCTCCTGGAAAGATATAAAAAGTCTCAAGCTTCACGGCAACGTCACTCCCCACCCTGGCTCTCGTAACTAGAATGATGCCCGTCCAATCGAACGTAAACAAAAATTGGCCCATGTGTGATTTGCAAAACGCCTCTATAAAAGTGGGCATGAATGGTGGAGAGCATGATGGAGGGCATGATGGAGGTCTGCGTCCATCAGGCAGACTCGTATAGTGAAGGCTTGTCACGGGGAGTAGCTGCGATGACCACAGCGGAACACCTAAAGGATAGGGTCGTTGTGCGCTGTCTAGCGAACCATCATCGCATACTTGTCACAACCAGGCTTGTGACATGGAGAAGAGATGTTAGCCAAGCATTCGGCACTGTGGCTTGCAGGGAGTTGCTGCCTTGAAGCCCATCCGGCCTTCAACTGCACAACGCTGCATGCGCACAGACGTCGCTGAAAGGCATGCCGTCCTGGATATTTATTATTATTCCTACACCGCTGTGCCCTTGGGCTTGCCGGACCTTCAACAACTTACTATACAGGAAAACCGCGCCCTCGTGGGCCGGGTGAAAAACCCATATCGACAATCAAGGAAACAATCAGTGTGCGATCCTGCAAATACAAAGTGGGAAGGCCTCTTGGCCTTCGAAGGAAAGGGTATTAGACTGCGAGCTCCAGCTCCAGCCTCCTGGCCAGACCGTACATCGGCAGTTTCCCCGAGTCCATCAGCCAGTCCAGGATCCTCCCAGTTAGCCGTGCAGCTTTGGGACTAATTCCCTGTAGGACAGAATAAAAGTCCCTTCGCGTTCTGATCTCGGCTCTCTCCCATCTTCGAGTCAACGGTGGGGCCAGTCCTGGATATTCTTCTGTGCCTTGATCTGTTGCAGGATGCTTTTGGGCCGTGCAAAATAGCATAAATGGGCCTTGTGGCAACTGCGGCAGTCGTATTTAGCGTACGGTCGGAGGAGGTCTGGACAGCCGATACCTCGGTCGAGAGGTCGGTGGGGGCAACAGAGGCAACGGAGGGTGGCATCGTGGATTCGGTAGGTGGATAGGCCATAAGGACGGGAAGGTCGCAGTCTGCTTGCCTCCCAGGTAGCCCTGCTTTCTTCGGACACAAGATTTATCCGCTGCCGAATGCCCTGTTGGGCAATGGCACGAACACCAAAACATACTGGTGCCACGAGGTATTTCCAGGGGGTCTTGGCCTCAATGTACCTCAACTCACCAACTCAACCCGGCTCTGAAGTTGGGTTGAGTTGGGCCTTCTTTTGCATAAGTTGGGTTGAGTTGAGTTGAGTTGAGTTGATGCCCTCCTTGTATTCGATGAGCGTGACACCACACCATTCAAATGGGTGACCCCAAGAGCAGAGTTCTCGATTTCTTCCACTCTATGACCGCAGATAAACCCAACGAGCTCAGGAGCCCAAATGATCTCAGCAACTTCATCAAGGCAATGACCATCACGACCGGACATCATCAAGAACCCCAACTTGGTGATAGGCGCGTTCATCCCAGTATTCGACGCGCACAGAAGGGTTGTAACTTGGAGTGAAGGAGACGTTTTGGTTCTCAGGCGCCGGGTCATCGAAGGCGGGAATGAAAACGCCGGTATGGATGAAAGCCACCACAACAGGCTTGGATGCAATGGTAAATCTTGGAGACGCACGGAACTTTGCGACAGCGGCCATGGCGTCCTCGACAGTGGCACACTCGGCAAAACCATATCTCCAAGACTCGTTGGTTTGGAATCCCCCATTAGGAACACACGCCGAAGTGAGCCGGGCTTTGCTCCGAGGCCAACAGTGCTTGCGGTCGGCGCCGTCGACTTCAGTTTGTTGGTAGTGGTGGGAGTTTGTTTTGGGGGTTCCTGGTTCTCGACGAACAACTTCATGACGCCTTTGGCGAGCACTTCTCGGTGACGGATCCCTCCAAATTCCGGATGACGACGTAATGGAAGGGTGTTTGCTGAGGACACTCACCGTCTCGCCTGTCAAGAAGGGACCAGAACCGCCGCAGTCATCTTCTGCTCTGGTTAGCAATCGCCAGTGACACTAAGGTGTTGATGGTCCTTACCGGGTCGCTCAGCTTTGCACTTGAAACAAACGACTCGATGGGGGTAGTTGATTGCACCACACTTGTCTGGTCAGCAGACGTGAAGTACGCTCTTAGAGCAGTGTACACACTTTGATGCAGTCCCAGCCGTCGTCGTCTCTCTGGGAGTCACGAGATGAATCCATCTCACCGCGATCTCTTGGATTGGGGTTGCTCGTATCGACGACTTAGCCAGTAGACCAGTCAGATCCTTTGGTCTTTGAGATGACGTTCACTACGACCCTGAATGGACGACTACCTTCGTACATCCTCGCCAAAGCAATCGAAAACCAGGACCTCCGGGAGACCATCGTCTTCGAAGTCGCCGCGGGCCATCCCACCGCACGGCTGAACGGCGGCAAGACCGCCAACATCTCGTTCCTCGCGGGCAAGCAGGAAAAAGTTGAAGGCATAACCACGTGGCCGCATGTGAGTGTCGCGACGCTGGTGCCGAAGGGACCAGCCTTTCCAAATGCGGGCTTGACGGACAAGATCGTTGGCTAGGCCCGTCGATATTCTGTGGGCGCCGCATCGGGCCTTGATCCGGAGAGGTTTATGCACCCGATTTGACCGTTCCATCCGCACGAGGTCGAGGAGAAGGTTCCGCGGGACGGATCGTCAAGTTGGATGTTGGGATTTGGGCTATGGGGGTGGAGTATCGAGGCTGGGGGCATTCAGTTTCGTGTTAGTGGGCGGAATTTGGTTGTCACCAACTTTGGCACTCCGGAGCATAATGGTAATAGGGGCCGGCACAGACTTCATGGTGCACCGCGGGGGCAATCATCCGAGTCTTCATTATTATTTTTCTTACACCGCAAGAGCGACTGCCCAGCTCAGTTAGAGCAAGCAGCCCCTCCTCCTTGTTTTACATGCATTGCATCCTCTCGCGTGCTGCGCTTTCGCAACTCAAGGGTTGCGTAGGCGCTCCCTACAATCCTTCCCATCCATCAGGGACCCGTCTCTTGAAGAGGACCCCCCTTAGGCCAATCGCTCCTGTGCGGGACTGTGTCAACAGTGAGCTTCTCGCCTTAGTTAGTCCCTGGTGGGCTAGTAATGGCTGCGCCAGAGGTTAGAGCTTGTAGAGGTCGGCCGCCTCCCTGTAGAGGCGTGGGTGTTGCGTGTCCGCACGCTCCATCTGTGTTTTCCAGCGGATCTTCCACTCCTCGATTGTAGGCATGTTAGCATGTAGCTTTGTCTACTCCCGATTAGGCGTCCGTTGGGCGCCCTGGTTACTTCTAGTGTGCGCCAGCAACCACTCCTTGGCCCACGTCTGCTGCTGTAGCCCAGGTGTAGCCGGTAGGGGTCTTGAGGTCCTACTAGCCCTGCGCCGCCGTAGCTGAGATGCCACCGTTGCGTATACATTGTTTAGGAACTGCGCCATCCCAGATGTAACGGCACACAACGTGCAGCCATACCGTTGCGCCATATTCCTGAAAAGGGTACAAATGATTTAATCCGACAGATTGAATCACTGGCTGCACTATGAAGCTGTAACAACTGGCACCTGTCGCCGGGCGTTGCCGACCCGACCAGCCGTGCCGTTACACCAGACTCTTGTAGCCGCTGTTCTGCTCTTGCTGCCTATCTGTTAAGGTACAGGTCGATAAGGGGAACCCAGGCCTCGCTATCCAGGTTGCGTATTAGGTCGCGTTATAGGTCCCAGTCACTACCTTAGGCAGCGCGTCTGTAATGCTTGGAAGCCACGTGCAATCTCTCGCGGCGTTCCTCCTAGCGGAGTCGGTGTGTGCCAGGCTGTCGCTCCATAAGACAGAACGCTCCTAATCACCTTCGTATATATCTCTCGAGCCTTCAAGATGCATCTTGGAAGCGAGTCTTGTACGCGCAAGCATCTGGGTTGCCATCCTTGCTCCCACTCGTTTGCTATGAGCTTTGAAGGACAACTTTCGGTCGAGCCAGACCCCAAGGAATCTGGCTGCCTCCACAGGGGCTAGACCCGGTCGCTCACCCCCCAGTATATTGACTTCTTCGCTGCGTGGGCGTCGCGCTCGAGTGAGGTGGTTGAGCTCGCAGCTATCTAATATAGTCCGCCATATCTTTCTATCAGGACACACACAAATCCAACATAAACCAAGCCAAAATTATCAAGCACCCCACTCTTGGCCCTCACAGCGGCAGACTCTCATTCCACGGCTTGTACGTCTGCTTAGCCCAGTTGTCGACGCAGTTTACCAGATCAGGCGGCCTCTCCTCCCACTGAATCCGCTCCTCAACCCCCCACTCAGCCTCCCTCGCGCTCTGCAGCCTCACTACATCACTGACATACCCCCTAACCTCCTTGATCCACCTGCCCCACGTGCCGTCATTGTACCCGAAATTGACCCCAGGGACGACAGCGATGCGCCCCTGGCCGATCCACCACAGGTCCTTGCACAGCAGCTCAGGTTCTCCCTGGTAGCACTCGCCGGGTTTACTGGCGCGGAAGGAGACTTCGCCCGACGCGAACGGCTGGGCGGCGATGGCGACAGCGCCGTTCCAGCAGGCAAAGACCTGGAAGGGGACTGAGGCGTTGAAACGTTGTTGGGTCGGGAGGTGGTCCCAGAAGAGGTTGTGCGAGTGCTCCCAGCTGCCGTTCAGCGGGATGTCGAAGAACATGCTGCCGGACATGGAACGGGCGATCCAGACGTCGTAGAAGATTGGTGGGGGGCTGGGGTTGGAGCCCGGGTCGTTCCAGTCCATTCCGCTGTTGTTGTGCTCGCCCGTTAGATGTGGGTTTGGGTAGGAAATTGGAAGGGTTTGAATCGGTGGAACGGGGGTTTCTTACCAGGTCATGTCGGCGTCTTGGAACTCGCGTTGGTGGATTAGCTCGAGGATATCCTCCTCGCAGGCGGATACGTCGTTGATGAAGGCAACGGTGGCGTTCGGAGTCAAGTTGAGTTTCTCGATGGGGGGTTTCGAGTAGTAGGTGAGTTCCCCTGGGTCCACCTCCGGGGGATTGCCGTTCTTGCCGTGCAGAATTTCGACCGGCCCCGACAGGGGTTCGATCGCCATTTGCCGCAGCATTGCCAGCTTCTTGATTCGCATGCCCTCTCCTTGCAGTGGGTCAAGACTGCTCCGGGCAAGCCAGTAGTCGACCCCAATCTTCTTCAACTCGTCGCTGAGAAGCCTCAGCGCCTCGAGCGTGCCGTCGTCCGAGTTGCCCTCGATGATGCTCAGCGCACAGTATTTTGGGCCGAGGAAGCGCATCACTTCGACTACGGAGCCGAGGAGTCGCGGCAGCAAAGGGGCGATCTTGCGGAGATTCAGGGCGAAGACGTATTTTGTCTGCTTGGGTTTCCACCAGCCCACATTCGGACGTAAGTAGCCGTAGCGCGTGACATTGATCTGGGGGCAGGACATGCGCTCGATAGAAGTGTCGGAGGGGTCGAGGATGGGCGGGATCAAGACGGCGGCTTTGGCGCCGAGTTCGGGGTCTATCGGGGGGTCATAGCTGGCGAAGTCTATGCTCAATGGATTGAAGCTACTGCCGTGCGTCGACGTGCCCAGGGGCCTATAACCTGTTGAATCCTATGAGCCGAGTTATCTCTGTGGGACGCGATTCGGGGCGAGACATACCGAAGGAATCCGACCATATATTGAGGCGGACATAGCTGAACAGAAAATACAGCGCGACCAAGCACAGCGCAGCGATCTTGGCGATAATGGAGAATTTGCTTTTTAGGTTGAAACTCTTCAGATTCAACATGGCGCCAATGCAAAGCGATCGCGTTCTACTATCTGAGCCTCGTGCTGCCTGGCATAGTGAATAGGCGCGGCGACGATGAAAGATGCAGGTTGCTCCCGTCTGGCGCGGATCCTGTTGGTCCGGCGAGTCTGGGCCGCCCGCTGTGGGTAGGTTGGGGGTCATACCCCTGAACCGGGGGGGTATACGGTTTGGGACCGACGGCTTACGGATGCATTGCGACTTTCGAGAACATGATCCTTTGCTGTGCTTCCTCAACATGAAAGGGTATGTGCCAATCCCGAGGTGTAGGACCCCGAAACCGAAGTACCCTTCATTGCCCGGCAACAAAGAGCTCAACCCCTTTCATGAGTCTGGATCCAGGCCTGAATGCCATCGCAGCATGTTTGCTCGTCGACCCACCCTGGCCCGCTGAGTTGAGAGTCCGTATAGCCAACAGCAACGCCAAGCAGGTCCACCGGTGAGGCTGAACTCCACTGCCCAGACGCTACCAAATGGATGCTGCCGCCCTGAAACAACGTCTGATGCTGAGCCTGGGAAACATGTTGGTGTGTGGTTTGTCTCAGACTTCTTGACAGTGGCCCGCTTTCAGGGATGGAATGTTAATTTAGATCCTGGCACCGTCACCGGAGGACTTTGCCGATGAGGAAGTATTCCTTTAGAGGGGGGCGCGCCGTGTCCCGGACGGTTGGTTCGCATTCGAGGAAGTCATGCTCATTGTTGACAATGCCAACTATGTCAGGGTACCCCCTATGAGGGAAGGATTAATTTCTTTGGGCCTGTCTAGCAGAGCAGTGGGAATTGTTGAACTGAACTGGCCCCTTGCACCTGGATTCAGGGGCTGGGCACTGTTGCCCAATGCAGTAAGCGTGGAAGACTCGTCACCCACCCAAAAGCAGGGTCTGGCGAGGTCCAGAAGCCCTCAGTTTCTTTCAGCAACGCACAGCCAATTCAAGCTTCATCTTGTGCCTCAATTGATGCAGTATCACCTGGTTGGTCTATTCCTATTCGAGCCTGTAACTGTTGCTGTCCTGGTCTTTCATTTCCAAGGAGTTGCAGCTCCGCGCAGCTGCTGCGCGGCCTGTTGGCGGCCGAAGACGTCGATTTCGAGGATCAGAAGTGAGGTTTCTAAGCGTCAGGAAATCCCTCACCACCCTGCCAGGATCTTTGGCACTTTCCGGACCGGAGAGCTTCCCAATCTGAACTAGCGTAAGTCCTTCACTTTTGCACCTAACTAATCAAGAAGCTCCTGCCTCGAAATTTCGAGGTTGCATACGTATGCAAGAATGCATGGCTGCGCCGCACAAGCCGCTTGCCCCGCTCACCCGCGCTCGGGCGAGCAAAAGCGGCGAGGCATATCGTGCTCGCCCGGCTCACCCCCCATTGGTGGGTGACCGCGAGCCATGCGCGCGAGAGTGCTATATTCCCCTTTATAGAGAGGCCTTGACATTGACTCCTGGGACAAACTCAACTCCAGCACATGTGGAACCTTCCCAAGAAGATGACTATACTACCCGAAAGAAAGCCAAATGAGTCCCGATGTCTGGGGAGGTGGAGCAGACCATTGCCGGCTTCAGTAATCCAAGATTTGTAGTAAAGACAAGATGATCACATTGACAGTTGGCTGAAGGTAACCGCACAGATCCACAATCTGTGAAGACGTATTGGCCACAAGAGGAAAAGATAGAGATGTCTCAGAGAAGTACCTATTGCCCTGCCTAAAGCATCCTTCGACGCGGCCAATAAGGAGTATACAGCGTCCTACCTCGCAGACACACACCATGACGTCCTTATACATCTTGGCCCAATGATACCCAGAACGGAAAACAGTGCTTGAAGAGGACTCTTTTGGTTGTGCTGTTGGCGGAGACCTCTCCCAGTATGGAGATGATGGACTTCTACACCCAGTCGCCTTCTTCTCCCGGAAGAACAACCCAGCCGAGTGCAATTACCCGATCAACGCCAATGAGGGTGTAACCGTGGGAATGACAATACACCCCATATTCCAAGGGAGTGGTGCTGGGACTGGGGTAATAGACGGGGCCACTTCTACTTCCCTGGACAGACTAGGCGCTGCTTCGTACAGAGAGGAAGCATTGACGAATTGGGTATTGCCTTTAGCATCTGGCAAGAGTCAGCCTGTACTTGGTGATTAGGGATAGCAGAGTTCAACAAGTTTGCTTTCCTCTCTTCTCCTTTCCCTTTTCTGGACAGCATCTGCACCCGCGCGGAATCGAGAAGTTTAGGAAACATATGGCACGTCTTTAGAATATATTTTCTTAACCAAGCCCTTCAAACTTACAGCCAAGAAGGAGTCTTGGCGCCGTTCGAAAGCTCTGGGAAAACCTTATCTAATGACGCCAACTGCACGCCCGCGCACTCTCCGCAGTGGGTGTGGAAAGCGGGCGATTCGAGGTGCTGCAGAGACCCCGAAAACTCTCATCAGCGCACGGACCAATCAGTCACCCGACTCGGCGACTCCCACCCACAGTTGCCTAGGCGACCACACCCTACTGCCCCTGAGCCCCTGAGCCCCTGAGCCCTTGCATGGGACAGGATGACCACCCCCGCCCCTCCCACTGAAGGGGAAGGAGGAGGACCGGCCCAGTCACGGCACTCAAGCGCGCCCCCGACACCTCCTCGTTCGCCCCCACCCTCTGACATCGACGCTATCAAGAAGTTAGTCGACGGATTGGTAGCACTGGCAAACCCAGACAAGCACGGGACCGCTAGATGCATAGGGTAAGACCTCCTTGCAGCTATTCGCAAGCTATATAACGCGGTCCAGAACCAAACGGGAACCATTTCACTGGCCAACCTCCGCAAAGTGGTAGCTGAAGAACTCAGGGCGGCCGCCACCGCACCCCAGGATAAAAGATCATGGGCCACAGTTGTAACGGTCTCAGGTAGTATATTGCAACTAGCTGATGACGACTCTACGAGTACACTGAACTTGGAGAAGAAAAGGAGAGACGACAGTGTAAGGTGACACACACAAGCTCACCAAGGAAGATGCACCGAATGTAACGGGCTGGGCCCGGTGCGAGCCTCGGCGACTCTCGGCCAATACCAAGACCCCTGATGAGGCTATTCCCACTCGCCCCACAGCACACCGAACCTTCTAGCAACGCGCTCAGACCAGCGCGCCGACGAGGATAAGTATGCTTGCGAGCTACCAGAGTCTGTCGTCTCTCCTTTTCTTCTCCAAGTTCAGTGTACTCGTAGAGTCGTCATCAGCTAGTTGCAATATACTGCCTGAGACCGTTACACCGAATCCTCAACAAGCAGCAGGCAAGACGACTGTATTGTGCGTGCACCCCTAACCAACTGACTGATCCTTGAGAGAGGGAAGTTCCAAGTTCCAATCTGAGTCTCCTGCTCTCCAGATATCGTCTCTCTGCTGCGAGTCATGTCGCTGCGCCATGAAATCCACAGTGTCTCGCCCGCCAATTGTCCAAGTGTAGGGCTCATGGTGGGGGCCGTGACAGACAGACTCTGGTAGCTCGCAAGCATACTTATCCTCGTAGGCGCGCTGGTCTGAGCGCGTTGCTAGAAGGTTCGGTGTGCTGTGGGGCGAGTGGGAATAGCTTCATCAGGGGTCTTGGTGTTGGCCGAGAGTCGCCGAGGCTCACACTGGGCCCACCCCCTTACAACAGTGGCCTCCCAGGAATCCAGCTATACTCAGACGTAGACCACTACCCCAGCAAAGACAGTGCCAGCCCGCATCAACAAGGAAATTCTTATCAGAGGCAGAGGAATGCCAGCCGATATGGCCAAACGGACCCCACAGGAGATCGTCCAAGCTATCAACCGATTCACTTCAATAAAGGGCGCAAACACTAGAACAACCAGCTAGACCTTACGCAGCCAGGAAGACGTACCAGCCTAGTAAGCCTACAACCTCAGCTAGATTCCAAACAGTCTAGCTAGATTAGAGCTTAATTAGAAGGCCCACCTAGGAGCAGTAGGGCGGAAGCTGAAGACTCAGAGCTATGCTCTAATAAGAATTACAGTGATGACATAGGGACTGGGGCTAATCAAGGCGAGAGAGGTGTACTCCAAGTGCATTCGGTCAGCACTGGCTTACGGTGCATCATCTTTCACATCCCTACTGAGAATGGGGGGCAAACCAGCAACAAGAGGGATCACCAAAGCCCTCAGTAAAGCCCAAAACAAGAGTCGACGAATAGTGGCAGGGGCCTTCAAGTCCACTCCTACTCGAAACCATGAAACAGAGACATAGGTGCTACCGCTGGACCTGTACCTCAACAAACGACGACTGGCTGACTTTGGGGCCCGACTTCAAATGCCCTCCTGTTGGAAAGTCGTGGCACTGGAACTTCGGACGCTCAGCTGCAAGTGCCCTGCTGTTGGATGCATGGCTGCCCAACTGAGCGTCAGGCAACGTGAGGGGTAACCCGGGCGCTGGGCAACGAGGTCAGGGCGATCCCCCTTCGCTGGAGACGTGAGAGAAGAAAAACCTTCAATCAAGAACATCTGGGATGCTCCGAGTATCTCAAACCCACTGTTGTAAGCTCCCATCATCTGTGTGATCACCGTGGAATCGTGGCTGTTGGCTTTCCAACACCTCCTTGGCCGTCGGCCAAGGAGGAAATAAGACTGCAGGGAGCATCATCCACGCAGCCTGCGACAATATCTACTGGAGTCACAACTTGAGGAAGAGCAACAAGGCTCGACCTCGAGCCTTCGGGCCGCAGAAGCCCACAGCAGTGGAAAAAGCCGCTATCACAATTGCAGTTTGGACGGGGGGGACAGCCGATACAGACAAGGTTGCCACTGCCTCCACTGTGGTGGAAGCCATTGCCTTGAAGATCACGCTCTTCGATAACCGGTCAGTAATAACTATGATTATATCCGCTCGATCGGGACCAGATGGAGGCAACCCGGTGGTAAAGTCGATAGAGATCTTGCTCCGGATTCTCCCTGGAATAGGCAGTGGTTTCAACAGGCCTCACTTCTTCTCTCGCCATACAGCTGTTCGCCCATACACATAGCAGTTCCGGATGAATCGCCTGACATCCTGACTGAGGCAGATCCACGTAAAGTTCCGAGGTATCAGAAGCTTGGTGAGGCCCCTTCCTAGATTGCCAGCGACCGTCGAATCGTGAGTCTCCTGCATAACCCGGGTGCGCAAACTCGAAGAACGGGAGCCAGATACCGTCTCTCCAGTAGAGTCGGCCTCCGTGATCAATTGAGCATTTCCGAAATGAAAATAGGGAGTCCCCATTGCGTAGGGAACTGCCTTGTGCCCTCCTTAACCAGTTGGCGGATTAACCAGCACCGGTTGTTCGCCTCTAGTGCTTGGTCCCACGGCTCTCTCAAGGGATTCTCAGACAAGGGGTTGACTGGAGGGTCAGACCTATTCTCTTCGTCATCCGTTCCCTATCCTGGTCAGCCCTTTTGCCTAGACCTTCTTGGACCTCTATTGCCGGCTGGCCAACGGCGCCGGTTTTGAAGACTTCACGCAAATAGTCGAGAATCGGCTCAGTTCAGGCTGATCGGTTTGTAAATTGTAGCCCGCAATATATTGTCGTGGATGACTGGCAAAGGTAGCTCCTCGTAGAAGCAGCTAATCTCGATCGGCCGTCCTTCCTTGGCTCCTGCCAGGACCATCGTATGGAATCCGTCTTGATCCTCGCTAGAATCTCCGAGTCGCGCTTCAAGACCGCTACTATCTCAGGGTTTGTTTGTTTCATTAAGCCGATGGATATTGTTGAACTGAGTGGGTTCCTTGGCACCAAGATTCACGGACTGAGCACTGATGTTCAATGCGAGACTCTCAGTCAACACAGATCCATCACAATGACGCAGTTCTTGACATAAACGTCATATCATGGCACACTGTTCCTATATAAGGGGGTAATTCCCCTGGGAGGATTAGAGAGGGCAATTTTTCCAAAAAAGAAAAAGGGACATTCTGAGGCACCCTAACCCACTATCTTGATCCTTCATTTGTGTGGTCACTCTGGAATCGTGACTCCAATTCAAGCTTCATTTCATACCTCAATCTATTCAATACCACAAGGTTGATCTAAGCTTACTCGAGCATGTAACTGTTGGCGGCCCAACAGATATAGAGAGCAGCGTCGCCCATCGTGCTAAACCGGCTCCATGGTGTGGCGTCCCGAAAAAGGCGATGCGGCGTGTTGAATGAATGATGCTCTGCGGTGACGTTCCGATCGCTGTCTCGAAGTGAAGAGAGCCTAACACGTACGTCAGTTACATACTATAACTTAGAGCTAGAGCAGACGCACATAATCGCAGACCAAACCGTCTAAGCTATGGCAGAAACATATAAATGCCGCTCATTCTACTCGTATCACATTAGCCTTATACTCGGTCCACGCGGCCGAGTCTCGCACCCACCGTATCGTGCCTCTCCCGGTATACCGCGAGAGACGTTAGCAGATTCCACGCATGGTTAGTAATGCGACTCTGCGACACAAGCCGCGCCAGTCCACCACGCATGCATCATATCCGAACGTTAGGACGCGCGCGGTCGGGAGCTCGGACGGGAGGAGGGTCTTGGGCCACGGCTCGGACGCGTAGCATGCAGTCCAGGTCTTCTCGCGGTCGCCGGTCAGACCGTGGACGAAGACGATGCTGCGAGAGCGTCAGCTGGCTGGTTCGTACAGAGCGGAGGTGCCCATACTCTACGACAGTATCTGGGACGCTTGTAGGGCTGTGGAGTAGCTTGATGCCCGAAGGGAAGGTCTTGTTGGTCGGCGACCGAATTACAAGCGATGTCTCTAGTGTGTCCTGTGCGACCGCCGCTTCGGGTTCCTTATTTCGGCGAAAGAGCCGCATTCTGCCATGCAAAGGAGATGGTGCTGTTTCGTCTTGGGTCGTGAAACTGCGCTGTGTAGGGATTATGTGCTCAAAAGAAAGTAGGATTGGTGAGGCAGCCCTTCCATGTTTTTCCAGGGGCCGAAGCTCAGCGACCTACAAATGATGCTCAAGCTGGAGACCGAGATAATGCGTGCCAGCCTCCTCTCCTAGTCCCGCAATTGGTTATTGAGACTTGAGGCTGCTCAGGCAATGGCGGTCATGCATAGCCATTGGCACTACCGCACTACCTCACCGTTTGTGACATTGAAACTTGCGCAACCCCTAGGCAGTCAATGTTACACTCTAGATGAGCTCGTTCACAATCCGGCTCGCGTTGAGGATGCGCAAGGAATGCTTACGAGTTGATGGAGGCCGAAGTCGTTGACAAAAACATCACGGTAAGAAACCGTCAGGGCTTCGCTCGATTGAGCCAACACAATCTATGGTGGCGTCCAAAGGTCAACTTTCGACGCAGTATATGACATCAATATGGCCACGCCTTGCACGTGACGCTATCGCCTCTCTATTTCTGGTGTTGTTGTTTAATGCGGAGCATCTGACATAGGTTGTACGGTAGCGACTCGGCGAGGTAGGCCAGCAAACCGAGATCTGGTTCTGCAGCGGACACGGAACATACTTGGACGCACCAAACACGAGCGCCACGTCATTGCGCGGTCAATCCGCCATACGAAGCAAGTGGTCAAGGTCGGTCGTAGCAGTATTTGTCTCGCCGTCTAGGGCAACGCCCACCTGACGACAAACTGCTCCTTATTAAGTTCCGAGGACCATCGATCACCGGAGAGTCCAACTGTTGGCGAAATATGAACACAACTTTCCCAATCGGTATGCCTCTTTCCAATACCTCGTCTTTTCATGGCTTGGATTGCTGGTTCAGGAAGACAAGATACCGTACGGACTGGTCCAATCTCATGCTTTCACTCCGCATAGCGAGCCGGCACCGGGTCGCCAAGGCGTGCTGTCAACGCCCGCCACTGCTGGAACCCGATTATCCGCTGCTCGTACGAGTTTACGCCCTAACTCCTGGCTATGGTTGTAACTACCACGTGTAGCCAGCCACACACCAGCCGGGCTGCCGGATAAAGACCTAGACATGGCCGGTGCGGCACAAATCGCCCGTCAATCTCGGCAGATGGGGTTCACCGGCAGATACCTGTCTGCCAAGGCCAACTGTACCGGAACCAAACCACAAGCACGGCACCTTAGGAGGCTTATGGAGACCGTTGGGTGGCAAGGGCCGCCTTGGTCGATCATTTACCCCCAGAAACCCGCGGAGGTCATATGCCAGATGTTTAGAGAGCACCCATTGGACTGTCGATATCTGTCTTGTCTCGTGGATATTCCAGACGCCGTCCAAGCTGGGAAGGTATACCGCGACCTCATCTCCTGACCATTACCGGCAGCCAGTCAGGAATAGTTGTGTATAAACAAATCCAGCCTGCGGACTCATTGTGTTGTGCCTCCCAATCAAGAACATCCCAGCCCCGCATCCAAATAAAAGAGATAGATGACAAGAACCTGAGAGTCAATGGACGGCAAGTTCGGACGGACAAGGTGCCGTAGAGGCGTGAACAGTATTAGCCAATCGCCCGGGTGCCTTATATGTCGACGCTCAGGACCTTCTCCTTGGGTTCCTGAACCTCCTTCTAGGTCCTGATCTCAACCGTTTCCTCGTGGCCCAACAGAGTTCGACCATGAAGTGGCTTTCGTTGACTTTCGCCCTCGTCGGCCCCGTCCATGCCGCGCTGCGCTTTGGGTGCTCGACGGTGAGCATCCAGCGGCTCGACCCGCTCGTCGAGCCCGGGAAGCTGCCGTCGGCCCATGTGCACCAGATCGTGGGAGGCAACGCCTTCAACGCGACCATGGAAGGCGACATCGCCGAGCAGGCATCGTGCACGACGTGCACCTTCTCCGAAAACTTCTCCAACTATTGGACGGCCGTCATGTTCTTCAAGCACACCAACGGCTCGTACAAGCGGGTGCCCATCATGCAGAACACGGCCCTGCCCAACGGCATCAACGGCGGCATGACCATCTACTACACCCAGCAGGACTTTAACTCGAACGGGAACCAGAAGATTACCGCATTCAAGCCGGTCAGTCTAACGTGTCCCCATGCTCATAACAAGAAGGGAGCTGACTGTCCCAGGGATTCCGCATGACGGTCGGCAGCCCGACCTACAGCGCCGCGCCGGGCTCCAGGGGTAACCCGGGCCTGCGGTTCGTCTGCCTCGAGAACAAAGGCACGCGCTTCCCCGAGCTGCCCAACTTCCCGACCCAGCCCTGCCGCGGCGGCATCATGACGGTGCACCACGTAAGCAACAGTTTTCTTCGTTGGTGGACAGTTTCACCCCTTGATGGCTGTCTCAGAAGCCATCCTGCTCCCGACACCCCTTCCAGACGTTTGAAAACTAGGAAATTCATGGCTGACAATGTTGATAGTTCCCCGCGTCCGTGGCCCTCCTGTCATATCAACACGCACAGTACTGAAAGCTGACGAGCCACAGCTGCTGGGACGGCAAGAACCTCGACTCGCCGGACCACCAGTCGCACATGTACAACACCGTCCGTGAAGCCTTCACGCCCGCGGGCCCATGCCCGGCGTCCCACCCGGTGCGCATGCCGCAGCTCGCCTTCGAAACGCTATGGGACACAACCCAGTTCAACAGCATGTGGCCGACGGACGGGTCGCAACCCTTCGTGCTCAGCTACGGCGACCAGCTCGGGTACGGGACGCACGCCGATTACGTCTTTGGCTGGAAGGGCGACGCCCTGCAGCGCGCCATGGACTCGTCGTGCATGTTCAACGCGTGCGAGAACGGCCGGCCGCTCAAGAGCCAGAGCGTGGCCGCCATGAATGCCTGCGCCGTCAAGAACCAGGTGAGGGAGGATTTGGATGGGTGTAAGTGTCCTTGAGTTCCTCTCCCGTGTCGAGGTTGATGGTGATGACTGACCGGTTGCGTGGCAGGGCTGGATCATCTCCCCGGCCAGGGCCCGATGTAGAGCCAGTGGGAGAAAGACGGGGACATCGAGTGGCGTGTGGTCGCCGGGCTTTGGAAGTGGACTTTCGTTATTGTTGGCAGCCGGGCCAAAAGTTCGTTGACCGCTTGCGTTGCTGTGCGATTCGCTGTGTAGCCTTTCTTTTGTCAGCGTCGTCTGTAACATTCGCTCGTTCCGTTGATACCAAACTACGATGCATTAGGACAAAGTGGGAAGCTGCAGCGCCATGTTGATCATTGGGTGATGGTGATGGGAATGCTGTTGGCGCAGGGTTCGGCGTGTCCTTGCGGGTGGCTGCTGTGTCTTTGTGGCGCGACGCATGAGGCCAGCGGCTTGGGATCACGAGGACAGGACTCCCGTGCGTATTCAAGACCAAACGACAAAAACGGGGGGGGGGTCGTCATTAGCCAATATGTACATGAAATGCGTTGGAGCCGGCGTCACCGTTCGTCCTGCTTTGGCGCAGACAGCATCCAGCTCCAGATGTAAATACAATCGCCGGGCAGGGTCGTCTCCATTAACGAACCATGCCGGCGTGCAATTAACCTCAACAAGAGACCATCCCTTCGTCGTGGCATAATATGGTAACCATGCAGGAAAATAGCTTCTGAAGTGTCGTGAAAAGAGCGGCAGATCAAGGTATCCGCATTCGTGACCGGACCTGTCGTCGTAGATGCACATGAAATGCCAAGCCCAGCCGATGAGCGAGCAACGACTTTTATCATCGTGCAGGATCGTCCGACCGACAATCATGGGTAGTGCAGGAGTGCGTGTTCGAGGAGGATGAACGGCGGCGAGCGGTAGAGGCACAAAACTACCAGTGAGAATCCTCCATGCGTCGCAGTGTGACCCTGACACCACCTCGGGCAGAGAACACCCAACGACGCGTCTCACAAACACCTGTTGCTTCAGCAATCCACCTTCCGCGGGAAGCAGTTCCTCAGCACCTCGACAGGAAGAGCCCATTCGTACCGTCCCCAAACCATCCAAGCACCAAGCCATACACCAAGTCCTTCTCTTCAATCATCAATATCCCCTCTCGTCATGAAAACTGACCCTCTCCCTCCACTGCCCCTCCTCCCTCACTGCCGGCATATCCCGACCCTGCATGCCGTCCGGCTTCGAGTTCGACCCGAACCCAGGCATCGACGACCACCTGTTCAGCCTCTTCTGCTGCTTGCTCGCGGTCGCGCTCGCTGTGTACTCGGCCGTCGAACTAGGGGAACTCGAGGTCGCGGTCGTGTTCTGTGTGCTGGCGGTCCGGCTCGTGTTTGCCGACGAGCCCGTCGCGTTGGGCGATTGGTAGATGTACTCGCCGTCGACGTAGATTGCGTTGGACACGAAAGTCGAGCGGCGGTGGCGCCTTCGCGTGTAGCGCTGCTCGAGGCGAAAGAGCTCGATCTTGGCTTGGATGCGGTCAATTATATTGAGTCCCATGGTGGTCGGTAGTGTCTGGATGTGTGGTGGCGAGGTTCTGATGGCGAGAATCTATCGAACGCTGCGAGCGGCTTGATTTGTCCAGCAAACGTGATTTAGGGAATGTTGAAGGTTTGACGGAGCGATGGGAATGTCGCTGGGCTTCCGGGTCCGCGGCGATGGTGCGCTGTCTAGGTCGTCGTCTGATGTATCCGATTTGCTGGGTATCAGTGATCGTCGTGGTCACAGCAGGCCTTTTGCGTCAGTGGGTATGTGTTTGCCGGCACGCAGCAGATTTGAGATTTTGCATAAGGATTGGACGAAGAGAAAGAGGCAAAGAGTGACAATGTGCGTGTCTGGCCCAGTTTATCTGGGAGATCGTGGGCTGACCCGGGAGGTTGGAGTAGGAGAGAGGGATTTCGAGTAACGAAACGGGAGGCACCGAGACCTGAAGCTTTCGTGGGGGGTGGACCCGATGAAGAACCCTGGGCACAAGTCAATGGTCTGCTTGTCTCCCGGTTGGCTGATTGATGGCGTGAGCTCCACCTCAATTACCCAACAAGCCATTGTGCCCGAAGTGCTGGATTCGTTGGTGCATTTTCGCCTGGAACAGCGACTCGGCTGCCGGGTGTGTTTTCCCTTGCTGATTTCCCCTGGCGATCGCAGATAAGCCCGCAAGTTTTGCAGAAAGCATTGACCAGTAATGGGAGCTCGGGCCTTTGGAATTGTGGGACGGACAGGGCACGTCACGAGGCCAAGCCGTTTAGCGTTCCACTGGTGCGTGCACCATGCGAGTGCCTAATGCCAAACCCGGCAAGTCCGTGATCTCGAGGCACGCTAGCGACGCAGGCGGATGTCGCGAGCTGCATGGAAGACGGCGGGGAAGGACCTTTTCATCAAGAAATTGGTCTCAGGAACATTCTTCCCCAGGAATGAGGGGTTTTTAACAGGAGAGTGTTCTGGGTGTCTTGAAGGGAGTGCGTTCGGCTATATTTTGCGGGTGCTCGGGCGCTGCAAATTCATCATTGTTGTTCAGGAATCGAGCTCATCCTCTCCTACCTGAACCGAGCGGCCCGGAAAACCCAACCCCGCAGATTCCAGCGAGGTGCTACGAAAGTGAACCTGTCCTGGTTACTTACGAAGCCTGGCTGATACGACTCAAGGGAAACTTCTGAGATTGATGTGCGCCATGAGTCTCTTAGGCATGGAATTCGTCTTCTGTTCTCTGTTTACTGGGCGGGTTTCTGCTCCCGCCGCGGGGATTGCATTGAGTCGGGGAGAGTGTCAAGGTTGATTGCACTTTTCGAGTAATAGGAATCGCTCTCAACAATCCTCCCTCACATTGGCTACTCTTCCTGGACCACGAGTAGTACCCGATGCGGTCAGCCGCCTAGGCAGACAACCGGATATTGGAATATCGAGCTCACAATCCGATGACCGGTTGAATACCACAATACACAGCAGGTCCTCTATCATCGGCACATGGTTAAAGAACAATCGTCGCGTCTCCTACAAGTCGAGGACCCGTCGTCGCTTAGCAACAACCTATCGCTTCCCTGATAACAGAACAACAATGCAGATGTCATCACGGGTGCTGTGGCCCGATGACACCTCTCTTGGCGCGCCGCGGCCCCGAACCCCGCCTGTGCCTCCACCCGGAGCTACCGATCGAGACTTGCCTAAACCGGAATGTCGCACCCGGCGCTCATCACCAGGGCGAAGCGCAGCCACGCACGATGCCGCACAAATGTCCAAGGACAGGATCTGTGAGCAGGTAATCCAGCAGGCACGGGGGAATGTACGATTATCTCCTGTTCATCAAACAGGACTGTTTTAAATCAAAAACCCATCCGGCGTACGCATGTTCGAGGAGGACTTGTCGCCTGTATGTATGAGAGAACGATCATGAAAAGATTACGATGAACCGTCACGACTTTCACCGTTCAATGATGGGTAGATTGTATCTTCAGCCTTCATACTGCTAGTACTGGACCACCATCACCAACGGCTGCTCAATGAATGTCGCCGCGGTGCGGAGTGAAGAGTCCGGTCGGTAGTCGTTGGGTAGCTTTAAGAGGGAACACAAGCAGCGGGGCCCTACTAGAAGGTACCTACCTATCTGAGCCATCATGAGCAAGGAATCCATTGCCATCTGAGAGAGACTTGGGGGGAGAACCGGCCGGGCAGAGTCTGGAAGAACGCCCATACGTACCGGCATTTTGACGGTGTTGTCGAGGATTCCGAGTCAGTGTCGATGTCTTGAAGTTCCTCAAGTGGGTTGGATTCGAATATTTGGTGTGGGCTTTCAGAAAATGTCAATGCTAGGGCCGAAAGTCAGAATTATGGCTGAGTCAGGTGCCACCATTTGGTGTGGCGCGTTAAAAGCTGAAGGTGTGGCCGATCTTACGCACCGATTTCCAAGAACAAGGCGCCCCAGAGCCTGGGCCGAGCGGCGGCTTCTTTGATCACCGAAAATCAAGAAGTGGCATGAACCGCGAAACCAGAAAATTTGCACTTGACGGGTATCAGCGGGTGTTTACTGCTTGAATCTCGGCTTGCCTTGCTTGCGGCGTCTTCCTAAACACTTTGCGCTTCTGAACGGAACAGCCTAGGCTTCCTTCCACATCTGCTCGACTCAAAGCAAAGTAGCGTAAACGCCAACAGCGGATGTTAAATTCCCAAGATCCCACTTCGTAAACCGGGCAATGACAAGAAATGATGATGATGACATCGACAAGCACGGCGTGAACGAGCCGAATGATGTCGAGGATGATGGCAAAATCATAGTAGACAACAGGCTCCATCGGCTCCAAGGCTCCTCACAAATCAAATATTTGGCAACCAAATCAAATGCTTGGCAAATAAGCCAAACCAAATACGGCACTATATTTGGCAAATAAAGGGCCATATTTGCCAAGCTTTATTTGGCTTATTTGACTTATTTGCCAAGAAATTGCCAGCCCACACCGCCCGCGCATCCATCCACGCACCTACCTGCGCATTCAGGACCGTTGTAATCTGTACGGAGTATCATCAGTGAGGCCGAGCGAGGGAAACAATCACAGTAGCGGAACTCCACTAACACTACACAGCCTCAGCCAGCAGATCCCGCTTTAGCTGCTGAAGATAGGACGCTGAACACTTGGAGAACGCAGCCTCCAAGTCGATCTGCTAAACTAAGTCAAGAGGCAACAGGTGGTGTGAGAAAAGGGGAGAGAGTAGAGGGCTTGTACGAGTTGATGGTTGAGCGTCAACGAATGGGATGTAGTTAGCGTGCCAAGGCCCTTTAGGCTTCGTGCCTCCGGGCGAAATAAATTCCATCCATCCATCATCAGTGAGCCACTCTGGCGATGCGCAAGCAACAGAGATTCTGACCGTCATCGAGGACTTCGAAATAGACCAGCATCTTGGTTACTTTCAATGCGACAACATTGCCTCGAATGACACATGTATCGCCGCCATCCTCAGCCGTTT